CCTCCCCCCCCAAAAAAAAAAAAAAAAAAAAAAAACCAAAGGAATTCCGATTTGATTTCTTCCAACCCATCATGGGGAAGACTGGGAGTCATTGGCTAGTTGGCCTCTAGATGGGACGTCCCTGCAGTGTGCAAAAGCAAGAACCCAAGGTAAATGCCTGCAACTCACATGGCCAATCCAGATGGGGTGCCTAGTTGTCCTGGCTCCCTGAGGGTTTCTGGAATTCAGTTGCCCACTCTGGGACAACACGGAGATGGTGGCAGTGGCCTAGCAAAGACAATGCTGGCTGTATGGTGCCACAAACTTCTGATCTGAGAAACTAGCCCTACTGTGGCTCTGACACTGGCAACAACTTGTTGGGACAATGCAATGGAATGAAAAACCGCATTAAATATGAAAACTGAAGAGGTGGCTGGTTCACAGGAGACAGGTGAGCTTGGGAGAGATGCATCAGAAGATCAGGTGCTTTGGAGGATATGCTTTCTAGACTGCTAGGAAAGTTCTTATATTTGAGAAGTACAGGCCCTGCTTGCTCACCAGGAGGGGTAATGGATTTTGTCCATTATGTAAAAGATAGTATCTTTTACCTAACGGAGTTAAGGCTATGATCTTTACTAACCACGCTATCATTACCATTGTCACACATTTCTTGCATTAAAAGTGATTACTAACACTCAAATGCACTATCAGTATACATTTCCACTGAACTAAGTTGGAAGTTACTCTGAAGGTCTGTCGGCCAATGGGCAGGGACTGTTTTTATGTATGTGGAGTTCACTGAGAATAATGTAGGCAATCAACACTGCTAAAAGCCTCTGGAGCCCTGCTGTGTCCTGCAGCTCATACACTCCAATACACAATGGAATTCTAACTGGTGACTAATCTAGTCACCTGACTTGCACCTACTAGACCCTGTTTACTGCTAGACAGATCCCAAATAGCAGGAGTTATTAAGGCAGTCATGCACACTGGCTGCTGGGCCACTTTGCCCAGCCTTGCAGAGCAGCATGGAGTAAGATCTCTGCTAAGTGCCCGAGTGTGTATAGCAACTGACCAACCTTCCCATGCTCAGAGTGTGCATGGGAAGAGGACCCACCCTTCATGTCCTGGCAGAAGTCTGCTGGCCTATCTCAATCTGCTCAGGATGCAATGCCTTAGGGATTCTAGGACTTGGGAGAACTCCTATGGTAGGATATTAAAGATGTCTATGAGCAGTTGCTAAGTTTCCTGTAAGGAGAAATAACTGCATCATTCCTGAAGAAAAAGATCCTGACATCATGGCTGTGAAATGAAGATCACAAACTACAGATGAAGTGGGCCAGGCTTGGGGGTGTGTGTGGAAGGAGTGCTAACCCTAGGATTGGGCTGAGGCACACAGCTAAGCAACAAGGGGCCACAGGGCTGCACAGGAAGCCCCAGTGCACTAGCAGAGTTGGAACCAATGGCCACATTGCTTCTGGGGTAACTTGGCTTGTTCTGTTTTGTTACTTGAAAGGAAGGTCATGACAGACTCTCCCAGGTCTGGGTCCACCTGGGAGAGCCAATGACCCTGGAAGGATCACCATCACCCTACATGCTGAAGGGACTCGGGGCTCTTCACCTTTGTTACAAAACCAAATATCTAGTAAGTGATATGTGGGGGTTGGAGGGCAAGAACAGTGCTTTAGGAAGGACCCTCCCCATCAACTGCTCGAGTTCAACCCCCTCAAGAGCTAATCTTTCAAAAATTTTAAGACAAAAAAAAAGTCACAAACCCAGCTGCAAGGTGGCTTGCCCTGCAGCCTTTGCTTTTGTGTGGAAGCGGGTGGGGGAGGCACTTAGTGGGTTATAGAGTGCCAGGATGCTCCAGGCTTTGCCACTGTTTTCCCCTGCCCTCCCTGGAGAGGGAAGGCATGTTCTAAACAGGGAGAAGTGAAGTTTCTATACAGGAAGTTCAAGCTGCCCAAATGCCAATTGAGAAACTATAAACTGCAGTGATGGAGCTGTTAACACTAGGGATGGCAGGGAACCCCAATAGTCAAAGTCCTTGTAGGGAATGGGTATGACACTGCATCTCCCGGCCGCTCTGGTTCACCAACAGAAACATCTCTTCTAAAGAAATGACAGGTGACAATCTTTACAGAAGCGAAGCAGGTCTGAAGCCAGTGAAGTAATAGTCCCTCACCAAGGTCGAGTGAAAAGGGTACTGCCCAGTAACTGTGATCCATCCAAGGCTGCTGTCTCTGCCCCATGTAAAGGATGTCAAGGGACCTGTCAGGAGATACCAGCGAGCAGCAAGAACCCCTACAGTTAGCAGTCCAGACAGCCTTGTACCTCAAGCCAGAAGGGGAGGTTTCTGTGTTCCACAGACCAGCAGACTGGGTCCCAGTCGCTGTTCTCCACGGCTGGCTCTCCATTCAGACACAAGACC